TTTAAATACTGCAATACAATGGACATAAATTGAAACCTGGGACTTTGTTTCATCTTAAAAGCACCAAAGCACAATGCTTATTGCGATTTATTGGATGGGAAGTGTCCTTCAATGTTCCGTCCATTAACTGAAAATAGGCTACTCTAGACTAATCGATTCTTGGGATTTAAGAATCGATATCGTTCTGTAAAAAAGAGAATCGATTAATATCGAGATAACGATATTTTTTACCCAGCCCTAAAAATTACTACAACTTCAACTAAAATTAAAAAGAAACTGAAAATCTAACCTCAATTAATAATTCAAAACATTGTGAAATACTATAATAACATATAAATAATAGTAAAAGAACATACAAACGGTGTGTGCATAAATGCTTCATATGTAGGTTGGGAATCACAAAGAGGTTATTTTTGTTCATTTGAATTATAATTAAATTTAATATGATTAGAAAGGCTGGACACTGTGAAATAATACAAATAAAAGAAATTGACAGTATGTCTTTCTATTGCATTGCCCATGCAGAGCGATCAGTCTGTGTCTGTGGACTGATGTCTTTTTAATGAATCTTTCAGAAAGAATCAAACATCATTGATTTTTTTGGAGTCGTCAGTTTGAATCAGTCTAACGTTGACAACTTGTGGTTAAAGATTCACACATTCACAACAGAGTTTTGTTAGTGCTTTACTATTTATACAATAATTACGGTTTTAGAACATCGGCTTTCTCTAAACGTACTAAAAGAATCGTTAACTGAATCATAAAGTGGAATCGGAACGGTTACATTCCTTATGATTCCCATCCCTAGACAGAAGTCTATAAGCTGCACAAAATACGCATGAACTGTCTTTTGTTTTTTACTACCCTAAATATAGAGACAGAAGTCTGTGGCTGAATGTCACATGATGTGAAATCAAACCTCTGAGGAGCTGGAATGAAAAGTGTGCTGTGGGGAAAAAAAACATAGGAACATCTCTTGGAATATCGCTACGGTAACACTGCCACACAGCCTCAATGCACTTTAGTCAAGGTCTCTTATGTTCACCAAGGCTGCATTTATTTGATCAAAAATACTGTAAAAACAGTAATATTGTGAAATAATATTACAATTTAGGATAACTGTTTTCTATTTGAATATATTTTACAATGTAATTTATTCCTGTGATCAAAGCTGAATTTTCAGCATCATTACGCCAGTCTTCAGTGTCACATGATCCTTGTGAAAAAGTCTAATATGCTGATTTGCTGCTCAAGAAACATTTCTGATTATTATCAATGTTGGAAAAAAGTTGTGCTGCTTAATATTTTTGTGAAAACGATAAATTTTTTACCTAAAAAACCTTTTGTTTTTTACTACCCTAAATATAGAGACAGAAGTCTGTGGCTGAATGTCACATGATGTGAAATCAAACCTCTGAGGAGCTGGAATGAAAAGTGTGCTGTGGGGGGAAAAAAAACAGGAACATCTCTTGGAATATCGCTACGGTAACACTGCCACACAGCCTCAATGCACTTTAGTCAAGGTCTCTTATGTTCACCAAGGCTGCATTTATTTGATCAAAAATACTGTAAAAACAGTAATATTGTGAAATAATATTACAATTTAGGATAACTGTTTTCTATTTGAATATATTTTACAATGTAATTTATTCCTGTGATCAAAGCTGAATTTTCAGCATCATTACGCCAGTCTTCAGTGTCACATGATCCTTGTGAAAAAGTCTAATATGCTGATTTGCTGCTCAAGAAACATTTCTGATTATTATCAATGTTGGAAAAAAGTTGTGCTGCTTAATATTTTTGTGAAAACGATAAATTTTTTTGCGGGATCCTTCATGAATAGGAAGTTAAAAAAAACAGCATTTATTTGACATATAAATCTTTTGTAATATTATAAATGTCTTTACGGTCACTTCTAATCAATTTAATGCATCCTTTCTTAATAAAAGTATTAAAAAATAAAATAAAAAACCTTTTACAAACCTCAAACTTTTAAAAGATAGTGTATGTTGTGTTCCACTGATAAAATAACATCATGAAGGTGATAAATAATAACAGTAAGTTGTATTTTTTTTCTATACTATGGAAGTCAATGGCTACCGTCAAGTGTTTGGTTACCAACATTCTTCAAAATATCTTCTTTTGTGCTCAACAGAAGAAAGAAACTCATACAGGTTTGGAACAACTTGAGGGTGAGTATGATGACAGAATTTAAATCTTTGATTGAACTATCCCTTTAAATACAGCGTCTATCCAGAATAAGGTTCATAGTAACAGACTTTGTGACAAGGCAGTGGCGGGAAACCGACGACTGATCACAAGATGAACTAGGAAAATATGAAGATGAATCCAAATGATGTTTCTACGACTCTTGGCAAAGAACCCTGCCATAAAGTCCTCAAAATCCTATAGAACAGGTGTCAGAACTGGACAGGGTTTTGAGCCGTGAGGAGGAACATGCATGAGCTGCTAACAGATGGAGAACTGGACTACAGTCGTACACTGTTGTGAATGATCATGGTGTTGTGAAAGAGTGGACTATGACAGATGAGGACTACGGCACAGGCACAGCTCAGGTGAACGACATCTTTACCTGTGTTGGACTCAAAACTATCCAGACTGCGGCTGAAGGAAGTAAACAACATCAGCATGAGAAAACAGGAGCCAGTGACTCAGTGTAAGCTGCATGTTTAGTCAGCATGTCTTGGTTCGCTGTTGCCATAATAGAGTAACAGACTTTGTGACAAGGCAGTGGCGGGAAACCGACGACTGATCACAAGATGAACTAGGAAAATATGAAGATGAATCCAAATGATGTTTCTACGACTCTTGGCAAAGAACCCTGCCATAAAGTCCTCAAAATCCTATAGAACAGGTGTCAGAACTGGACAGGGTTTTGAGCCGTGAGGAGGAACATGCATGAGCTGCTAACAGATGGAGAACTGGACTACAGTCGTACACTGTTGTGAATGATCATGGTGTTGTGAAAGAGTGGACTATGACAGATGAGGACTACGGCACAGGCACAGCTCAGGTGAACGACATCTTTACCTGTGTTGGACTCAAAACTATCCAGACTGCGGCTGAAGGAAGTAAACAACATCAGCATGAGAAAACAGGAGCAGTGACTCAGTGTAAGCTGCATGTTTAGTCAGCATGTCTTGGTTCGCTGTTGCCATAATAGAACTTCCACATTGTGATATTTTTAACAACCTTTTTTTTTTAAATATATATCCTGAAGGAGTTTATTGAGCAGCCAGTGAAATCAAAGGTTACCGCTGGGCTAATGTTGAGGAAATGAGGCCAACTCGTTAGTTCAACTGAAGCTGATCTCTGATCTCTGCTGTAAGATCCATTTCTTCGTAAGACTAAATGCATTAAGCATTATTAGTGGTGTTTGCTCAGGTAAGCATGACTACTACTGCTCACACTTGGGGTTAAAGATTTCAACACACTCCCAAGTATCAAACATTGGTGTATAACCAAAAAAAAAAAAAAAAAAAAAAAAATGGTAATAAAGCTTAATCATTTAAATGAAATTAAAAATAAAATACGAAAAACCTAAACTTAGAATTAGAAATGTTGGCTTGACAACTAATTAAAATAAATAAGTTTAAGTTCACTTAAAAATGGTGTAGGATTAACTTTGAAACAATTTTCACTCAGAAATTGCTAGTAAATTTGACAAATATTTACAAAGAAATGGCAAGTAACATATTACAATTTTAAGTAGAAAGATTTGTATAGTATTTTCTTGGAAAATGTACTGCAAAAAGCTGATTTTGAATTTTTTTTACAGTGTTGAAGTATTAAAATTACTAAAACAAAGCTAAACAAACTAAATAAAAATTAGAGCTAAATAAAAATTTATTTAAAAAACTGACAAAAGTGCAAAATTACAAAACAAACACAAATAAAATAGCTAAAAATATAAGAATTAAAGCAAATTCAATATATTAATAAACAGTATAAAAATAATACTAAAATAACACTGCATATAACTTAACCATTTGTGCTATGAACATGAATGACATTAAATTGTGCAGCAAAAATTGCAGTCACGGTAAACTTTAAGGATGCAAAATTACTTACAATGCAACAAAAAGTAAGAGTAGCAGGATAAATGTTCTTTTTTGAATACAAAGAAAATAAATAATAGCAAATTTAAAATGCACTATATACTCTGAAAATAATGCACAATTATTTTTCTTTATATTGGGTCAACAGATCATTCTGACATTTAGATCTTCTATTGGACAAAATTGAAGTTCAGTACAACTAGCCATTTCATTTTATTTGTACATCAATCACACAGTGATGTACAGAAATGGTCAATTATAACCACGATATCTCTCATCCCAGTGTTTTGGAGAATGAACCATCACAAAACACTAAAACAGCTTCAGTTTTTGATGGAAAGCACTTCAATAGTCTTTAATCAGAGATTTACTCACTCCCAATTCATCCTTGATTGGAAAAGTTCTGGCATGTCAAAGATCTAGAGCGTCTCTCCTCACACTTACAGGGTGAAAGCATGTTAAATGGAGATTAACGAAGTGCTGCGTTTGATTAAAAGCCAACACTTTTAATTACTGCACACGACAAATAATCAGCGTGAATCAGAGATGGACTGAACCCCCGCTGCTGTAAAACAGCTCATCTCATGTCTGCTAATCTCTCGGGAATGGCACTCCGTGTGTCTGGATGAAGAATGACCATCATTACAAATCGTTAAACAGCTGTTGTTTGGTTTGCAGAATAAAATGACTGTTAATTAGTGCCATTACGATCCCATAGTATGCAAATAATAGTCATTTAAAACATGACCTAATCATTTGGCATCACAATTGTTTGATTTGTGTATACAGGCAAGCTGGAACATGCATATTATCCCAATAAAAATATTCTCTTAAAGGACTTATATTATGAGGGATCCATTTTTCCTTAATAGTGTTAAATTAATGCTAAAGAGTGTAATTTTCAAATGTTAAAATACATTCTCCTGTCTGTCTTAATGTGTAGAGACAAACGACTTGTATTCTATGGTGTTATCAAAGCATATGTCAATTTCAAAGGTCCATAAAAAATTATTGGTATATTAAAAATTGTTCAAATGTTGGGTTTTGTTAGAGAAATATTAAAAAATTATTTTTTACACGGCACCCCTGCTCTCGACAGACGGCACCCCGGTTGGGAAACACTGGCTTAGACTGTATATCATTTGAACGTATCATATTTAATGCACCTTGAACATGGCTGAGAAAGCCCACCCTGAACTGGGCAGAGGGTGCAATATGACGTCTCATTCTATATTGTGCCATATGTAAAATTCAATGGTCCATAAAAAAAGGCTGGTAAAGTAAAATTTTTTTCTAACTTTGGATATTGTTAGAGCATTAGACCATTTATCAAGTCCCATTGTCAGATGTAATGCAGCCTTGAAAGTAGCAGAGAAACACTGTCACAAATTAAGCAGAGGATGCAGTCTGACGGCTCATTCTGTATTGTGCATATGTAATGTTCAAGGGTTCATAAAAAAAGATTGATACAGTAAAACATTTTCAAAATTTGGATTTCTGAACAGTCTGAGAATGTTTATCACTGTTAACTGTCAAATTTTATGCAACATTGAAAATGGCTGAAAAATGCCTCCCCGAATTGGGAAGAGGGTGCAATATTATATCTCATTCTGCATTATCCCAATGTCAAGTTCAAGGGTCCATAAATAAAGATTGATAAAGTAAAACAAACATGTTCTAATTTTGGAATTTGTTAGAGCCTTAGATTATTTATCACACCACATTGTCTGATCTAATGCAGTCTTGAAAGTGGCAGAGAAACACTGCCACAAATTAGGCAGAGAGTGCAATACGACGGCTCATTCTGTATTGTGCCATATGTAAGGTTCAAGGGTCTATAAAAAAGACTGATACAGTAAAAAAATGTTCAAAATTTGGATTTCATTACAGTCGTAGGCTGTCTTTCATTGTTAATTGTCAAATTTGATGCAACCTTGAATATGGCTGAGGAAGGCCTCCACAAATTGGGCACAGGGTGCAATATGATATCTCATTCTGCATTATCCCTATGTCAAGTGTTCATAAATAAACAATGGTAAATTAAAATAATATCAACATTTTGGATTGTATTACAGTCATAAACTGTATATCATTCTTAATTTTCAAATTTCATGCAGTGTTGAATATGGCTGAGAAAGGCTTCCTCGAATTGTGCAGAGGGTGCAATAAGATATCTCATTCTGCAATATCCCTATGCCAATTTCAAGGATCTATAAATAAAGATTGATACAGTAAAAACAATTCTAACTTTGGATTTCATTACAGTTTGAGACTATCACTGTTAATTGTCAAATTTGATGCAACCCTGAATGTGGTTGAGAAAGGACTCCCTGAATTAGGCAGAGGGTACAATATGGTATCTCATTCCGCATTATCACTACATCAAGGTCAAGGCTCCAGAAATAAAGATTTATGCAGCTTCTTGCAAATAACCTCAGCAAAGTGCTGTTGTTAATCATAGAAATGTATAGTAGTAATAGTAATGAAACATAGAAACTGTGAGTGGAGCGTAAAAAATAGTCCGGATTACGTAAGACCAACCAAAGAGTTTATTCTCAGAGCTGAATGCGTCCATCACAAATACCGCTGCGGTCACATAATGGAGCACCAGGAATAGTCGTGCCCTATACTCCACATCTGTGCTGAAGTTATAGTATGACCTGTTAAAGTTCAATGCGCAGGGTGTTGTGGTGTAAAAGTGCCAGATATAATTCCAAATAAAATTTGACTAACCTTGAGAAAGCCTCATCTAGACCATCCTCAAGTTCCTGCAAAAGGCACCGCAGAGAATACAATAAGTTAAAATAAACATCTTCATGTGGAGACCATATGGGTTCTTATTACTGCAGCAGAAACTAACGTGCTGTTAAATGAAATAAAATGTGATGTTTTATTTAAAAGTTAAATATTAATATAAAATAATTAAAAAAAATTTTTTTTTTTAAACATTGTATGAATCATAGAAATGTATAGTAGTAATAGTAATGAAACATAGAAACTGTGAGTGGAGCGTAAAAAATAGTCCGGATTACGTAAGACCAACCAAAGAGTTTATTCTCAGAGCTGAATGCGTCCATCACAAATACCGCTGCGGTCACATAATGGAGCACCAGGAATAGTCGTGCCCTATACTCCACATCTGTGCTGAAGTTATAGTATGACCTGTTAAAGTTCAATGCGCAGGGTGTTGTGGTGTAAAAGTGCCAGATATAATTCCAAATAAAATTTGACTAACCTTGAGAAAGCCTCATCTAGACCATCCTCAAGTTCCTGCAAAAGGCACCGCAGAGAATACAATAAGTTAAAATAAACATCTTCATGTGGAGACCATATGGGTTCTTATTACTGCAGCAGAAACTAACGTGCTGTTAAATGAAATAAAATGTGGTTTTATTTAAAAGTTAAATATTAATATAAAATAATTAAAAAACATTTTTTTAAACATTGTATGTAGACTGAATTAAATAAACACTGGTGTCTTTTTCAAATGACCAGTGAGTGGTTTTCTCAGTATTGCTGACATAAAAAGCATCAATTTCAATTCATTCTGATTAATATTAAGTAATTATTCCGATTAACTGGTGAAGTACTTTGACTTTAGATATACTGGCACATGTCTGAAGCACATTTGTGCAGGTGTGTGTGTGTTTGTGTGTGTGTGTTCCTACCCATACAGTGTTGTTGTTCTCTGTGCTGAGGTTCTGTGCCGGGTGTGTGCCGTCTATTCCTGAGTGATCTTTCACTCCACATTCAAGGTCCAGTAGATCCCCAGTGGCCACCTCTACAAACACAAATGAAAATAATGATAATAAATAAATAAATAAATAAAGTGAGAAACAAATTAAAAAAACAAATTAAATTAAATATATAAATAATTAAAATACATGAATAAAAAATTATTAAAAACATAAAATAAAAAATATCTAAGAAAATAAGTAAAAAAAATAATAATGTAAAAATAAATGCAAAAAATATGATTTTTTTGAATAAATGAAATCAAGTAAATAAGTAAAAATAAATAAGTGCACAAAAATAAGAATAAATTTTAAAAAATAAAATTAATTAAACAAATACATAAATTAAAATAAATAAAAAAATAAAATAAACTAATATGTAAAAAACTAATAAATCATGCAAAAATAAGAATACATGAAAAATAAACAAACACACAAGCAAATTAATAAATCCATCCACCCACTATGGTCAAAAGCAGGCGTCATTTTCTTTGTCCAAATTATATTTTCCTTCTTTTGATGTAAAAGGTGTGATTTTTATTTGACAATCCATAAAACAGCTAGTTCTGATACCCAATTCTGATTGGATGAGTCACGTTTGAAGCTGTTGACAAATTACTCTGTTTCTTGGAAACCATAACAAGCAGTTAGGCTAATGAACTATATAACATGGCAGATTTATTTATATATTTACATTATACTTATTACAGGTTCAGTCCACCTGGATCAACACAAAATCACAGACACAATGGTTATAGTTCATAGATCAACCTTTAAACAGAATATTTTCATATCTCCACACCTGCAGTGATCATACAGATCTGAGCATTTAGAGAATGAATCAATGCTCTTCTCAACATCAAGCCGTGACACGCCTCACAAACTCATGGTGCAATCAAAAGCTTCTTTCATCATCATCTTTCTCTTATGTAGTTTTCACCTCCCTGCCTTGATTCTGCTCCGATCCTGAGCCGTTAAACGTGTCCATCTCTGTCCTGCTCTCATATTTCATGAGCGGAGATCAGCCGCTGTGTGTGTGTGTGACTAAAAGACTCATATTTCTGATATCTGATGGGATTTACGAACACACAGAGCTTTATTCATGCACACACACGTCTGTCTCATGGCACACGGATCACTGGTCCTCAAGGGTTCATTCGTTCACTAAACTCTCCATCCAGGATTATTTCTGTAACCTGAGATCCATTCAGGGTCCTCTGGCACCCTTACAAAAAAGCAGCATGGTCCAGTGATGGTATCAGATGATAATACCGGGGTCTTTAAGTGGTACTGTAAGGTACTTTGAAGAATACCATGTATTATCATTGCCATCCTTGCTGGATGGGTCGAAGGAGATTAGATAGGCATGTTGTGACCAAAAAAAAAAACCTGTACAAAACCTGGAAGCAACAAAGAATCTTAAAATTAACAACATTTATTGTGTTTTTCCAATCTCATCAATACACTATCATTGAAAAGTTTGGGTCGGTAAGACTTTTAAATGATTTAAGCTCTCTTATGCTCACAAAGGCTGTATTTATTCACAAAAAATACAGTAAAATTTGTGATATATTATTAAGATTTAAAATAACAGTTTTCTAATTGAATGTATTTTAAATGTAATTTATTCCTGAGATGCAAAGCTGAATTTTCAGCATCATTACTCGAGACTTCAGTGTCACATGATCCTTCAGAAATCACTCTAATATGCTGATTTGCTGCTCGAGAGACATATATTACCATTATCAATATTGGAAACCGTTCTGCTGCTTCATATTTTTGTGGAAACCGTGATAAGTTTCTTTTCCAATATTTTTCAAAAGAACAGCATTTATTTGAAACAGATCTTTATTGCATTTTAAATGTATTTACCATCACTTGTGATCAATTTAATGTGTCCTTGCTAAATAAAAATATTAATTTCTTACAAAATTTAATAAAATTACTGACCCCAATGCATTATCATCATGTTTCCAGCGACTATTAATTTATCCACACTGAAACTTGAAGATACCGTGTGACAACACAATCAGAGGCAATAAGAGCACTTTTCATTTATTTAATTCATACACTTATGTGGAGTAGGATTTTGGACCAATGAGATTGCATTGTGGGCGGAGCTACACAGCGCAACACCATAGAAACTGACTGACAAACTACCCTGTTGATTGTTGCATTCAAGGCTGGTTAGGACAAAAACTCATATTTAAATAGAAGATTTAGACAACTAGTGACTGGCTGAACTCTCAGACTGAGAGCTGCTGGCCGCCTCTCCATCTGATCCACATTTCACCTGCTTCTCTTTCTCTGAAAGCATAGGTTTAAAAGCAGAAATGTCAAGCTTGTATTGTTGTTAATTTGCTTCCATTAAACATTCACTAAAAACATGTTCTTTATTTGAGCTTTCAGAATTCTTTTAAAGGGGTCCTATTATGCTCTTTTACAAAGTCTTGATTGACATAGTGATAACACTCATTACCAGGTCTCGTCCCATTCGTCGATCTTTGTGATATCACAAATCCCAGAAAATATGCGTTGTAGTCCAAACGAGTCGTTCGTTGTAGTTTTTGAAAAGTGATTTCTGTTAAATAAAATATCTCCTTTTGAAGTGGACTTTGAACTTTGTAACTTTGCAGATCTTTTTTATGCTCAAACAGCAACATTACAGACTAACTAAAGTTGAAAAAGTGAAAAAGAATAATAGGACCCCTTTAAGTCTAATCATTTTTTAAATCTTTCTTTTAGTGCAATAATTTTGTAAAAAAAACAAAAAAATACATAGAAAATGTTCATCTTGAAACTTCAATTCATATACTTTCAAATATATGCATATTTAAATGTTTACATTTAAATGTTTCAAAAATTCATGAAAGTTTTTATAAAGAACGAGGTCAGCGAGTATAAATGTGCACCAGGTCCAGGAGAAACCAGCCCTAAATGTACATTTGAATATTTAACAGATGTAGCATAAAACTCTGCCGTGGCCTTGATATCTGCCTGAATGAATGAAATGGAAATGAAACACCCTAAAACACTATCAAAGCCCCGGACGCTCAAACAGCCTCCTTCATGAGGAAGTGTATATACTGCTCTCACATACTGTCTAGCGCTCTATGACTAAAGAGGGAAGTCAGGAGGGTGGTGAAGTTCTCAGTATCATAATGGTGTTTCTGGTTCTTCTCTTTTCTCTACTTGTGGATTATTGTGATGTTTTATCAACTTTTTGGACTCTCAATCTGACGGCACCCATTCACTGCAGAGGATCCATTGGTGAGCAAGTGACGGAATGCTAAATTCCTCCAAATCTGTTCTGATGAAGAAACAAACTCATTTACATCTTGGATGGCCTGTGGCTGAGTATATTTTCAGCAAATGTTCATTTTTGGGTGAACTCTTTCTTGAATTCACTTCTGAACATCAGAAGGTGGTGATTGGAATTACCAAACTTATAAAAACATGTTCTGCCTTTCCTTCCTTGCTCTCATCACATGTATCACTCTAGAATTAAACATTTAACACAACAGGATGCACAGACAGCACTTTTCAGAGCCATCAAAACACAATGGCAATATAACTGTGTCATTTGTTTATATTTTAGACCCTGCAGTAAAACACAATGAGATGGAGAGAAAAGTCTGAGTTCTGCCAGATGAACAGATCCTGCAACAAACTGCCAGGTGCAGAGAGATGAAATGAGTAAATCTCTACAGGCCTCAGGACACACACACACACACGCAGGCAGGCATGTTCAAACATGCAGTAAATTACATATATGTTCTGCTGATCTGTACGACTGGACCTGCTCTATTCTCACTGCACTAAAATCTCTTTCTTGTTCTCCATCTCTGCATGAAATAAAGAAAATATACAGTCCCTTAAAAGCTCATTATTCTACAAGACAATGCCTTTTTAAAGTCATAAATACATAGTGACAGGATTGGGGGCGATATAGATTAAAAAACAGTAATATCTTGATATTTTCAGCCTTTTTGCAATATTCAAAATTCTCCAAAAATATGTGCTGTGAAACGGCTTTAAAAGAGTTTTTGTTGTTGTTGTTGCCAATTAAATTCAAAATGTATAATGCAAAAAGTAAACAGTAAAAAAAAAAACATTTAATATTATTTAAAAAAGGAAGGATCAAAACAGATGAATCGCGATCATCAAAATGAACCAATAGTGTAAGTCTGAGGCGGAGCTATTGGCTAATACGACCAATGGCAGATGGAAGTGTTTCAGAAACCTGTTTGGAAACAGTCATTATTTTTGGACTTGTGTTTGGTGTCGCTAGTGGTGTGGAAATTACACACTTCAGCTTTAAGTAGGACACATGTGAATTTGTGCTCCACAGCCCATAACAAAGAGAGAAAGAGTCAGAAAGAATGATAAACAAGAGCTGTGCTGGGATGGCTGAAGTTGTGTATCGTACCTTCTTTAGCAGTCTGCCAAAACTCAAACGCCACACGGAAAGCCTGAGCCACCGTTAACGTCACCGCCTGAGCCTGAGACAGATGGGGAAAAGGGAAGAGAGGTGTCAACGCCACATTTCTTGTCATGGATAGAAAGACAGCGCATTGGTTTCTGTCTCTCTCTCTCTCTCTCTCTCAGAGGAAGTGTGGTCTTAACGTATAATGCTATTTATAGACTGAAGGAAAGACAAGGAGTGTTTCTGACCCACAGACACATGAACACACTCACCACTTTCCTCTTGGTGCAGAGGTACGCGTGACACTCCAGCGTTTCATTGCGTTGACTCTGAGCGATGTAGGCGAACACTTTATCATACATCTTATCAGCCGTGCAGTATGATATCCTAAAGACAACAAACAACATATGAGCAAAATCAATCTAAAGACAACCTATGTAAAAGTACAGTAAATAGTTCCTGAACAGCTATTATTTTGTACACTACCACTCAAAAGTCAATAAAAGTTTTTTTTAAAGAAATGAATACTTTTATTCAGCAAGGATGCATTAAATTGATCAAAACTGACAGCAAAAATGTTACAAAAGTCTAATATTTCAAATAAATGCTGTTCTTTGAACTTTCTATTCTTTAAAGAATCCTGAAAAAATGTATTACGGTTTCCAAAAAAAATAAAAAATACGAAGCAGCACAACTGTTTTTAACACTGATAATAATCAGAAATGTTTCTTGAGCAGCAAATCAGCATATTAGAATGATTTCTGAAGAATCATGTGACACTGAAGACTGGAGTAATGATGCTGAAAATTCAGCTTTGATCACAGGAATAAATTACATTTTAAAATATATTAAAATAATACATTTTAAATATAGAAAACAATTTTAAAATAAAATAGAACATTAAAATAGAAAACAGTTATTTTAAATGGTTATATTATTGGCAGCGGCTATTTGCACTAAGTGAAAATAGCATATTTTCTTCGCGATAGATGCTATTTACACTAAGTGCAAATAGCAATGGATTCTATTTACACTATGTTAAAATAACATGATTTTCTGCTATTTATACTACTTATTGCAAATAGTGGCAATTATCTGCACCTCAGTATTATAGTACATTATAAAACAGTATGCAGTAATAATGTATTGAGTGTTTTAATTCAATAATATATCAATTTTAATTTAAAAATATAATTACATAATTTTAATTCAAATTATTAAATGGATGCCACCTTATTGGGACAATAAAGCCCTCCCTACACCTATCTTAACCCTACCCGATACTTTATTTTCAACTTTTTGATTATTTCCTTCATTTTTATTGAAAATAAATGCCTTACCGATGTGATATGAGATTTGAAAAGGGAGGGAAAAACGTTCGGTAAAAGGCGGATTCGAACCAGAGTCGAATGCGTCAAAAAGACTACAGTACGCGCTTTACCATCTATGCCACTGAAGCTGAGGACTGTCAGCCGTCTTTTATAGTGTTGACCATCCCTATCACACATTTGTGGGTGGAGCTAGTGTAAATAGCCTCTGCCAACAAGGCGGGCTATTTGCACTTAATGTAAATAGACACTCCGTATATTATTTCACAATATTATTGTGTTTACCATATTTTAAGTCAAGTAAATGCATCCTTGGTGAGCAACATTCAAAAAAATCTTTAAAAAAAAAATTTTTTTAAATACAGTCCCAAAACATTTTGAACTTTTAAACCTTTTTATGATACATAAGTTGGTTTCAAATATCTGAGACCACTAGTGAAAATACTATTTTTAATTATGAGCATAATGAGTGAGCATAAGTTTTTTTTTTGCTGTAATTACAGCAGCACATGAACAAAACCTGCTGACCATGTTCTCCAGCATGATCTGAGATGTTTCAAAGAGCACCTTGAGCTTCATCAGAAGCATGAACTGGAAGTGAAGTAGTTCACATTATCAATAACACATTTTTTCTTTCATTTGGTCAGTGACCTAAATCCTAAAACTTTCTGTTTATCTCCCAGTTTAAATGAAATAGGGGAAATAATCCCAGACGGTCTCAGATTGGTCTCTATCCAGCAAAACACACCCACTGTCCATTATCCACAGCTAAATCACTTCCACACACACTCGTGTATAACAGACCATCACGTCACCTCCTCTGAGATTTATAATAAAAAAAATATTTTAAAAAACGTGTACAAGCAGTGCTGAGTCCTCCATGTTCAACACTCCATCAGCACTTTGACAGAAAGCTGACCCACCAAACCATAACACACACCCACACGCACAGAGAGACATGTGGGATAGTTGGACTATGACTGCATCGTCTCTGGCATCCTGTTGACATCATTGTAATGTGCAGTAAACTCATGAACTCCTCCAGTGCTGATTTCTCCCCTCTGCCCTGAGTGACAGCTGGCTCAGCCTATCAGAGGCCTCACAGCAGCAGGGGCGGGACTAATGATGGATGACCGCCATCTGTCCTGTCTCACATTTAAAAATATGAAAACTTTCTCTGCCTCACACACACTTCTGTCTGATGAGGACCAGAGTAGTTTATCCTAATTTGAAGAAACAAAAACAAATGTATAATACACTACTGGTCAAAAGTTTGGAATAATTAAGATTTTTTTAAATGGGTTTTTTTGTTGTTTTTTTAAAGGTTGTATTTACTTAATTGAAAATACAGTAAAACAGTAATATTGTGAATTATTATTACAATTTAAAATAACTGTTTTCTATTTGAATGTATATTTTAAAATGTAATTTATTTCTGTGATCAAACTGAATTTTCAGCATCATTACTCCAGTCTTCAGTGTCACATGATCCTTCAGAAATCATTCTAATATGCTGATTTGCTGAATATATGTTTACATATATTTTGCTATATATCAATATTTTGTGGAGACCATGATACATACCATTCAAAAGTTAGGATTAAGATCAAAATTGAATTTTATTCAGCAAGAACACATTAAATTGATCAAAAGTGACAGTAAAGA